TTAAATGTGATAGGCACTTTCTAAGTATTTTACCTGTAGGTGATTAAAAATTGGGGAAGTAGAGAAATCAAAGAGGAACGGATGCTTAATACCTAACACGTGTGTACTTCGCCTCTCTGCGTCTTATCTGTAAGAGCCTCCAATTCCCATCACGTGAGGGTCAGGATCTGTGGTATATTCACTCCTGGTGTGAAAGCCCTTGAAGTTTGTTTTTCACTGGGAAAGATTTTATTTGAGTTGTTTCTTGATAATGAAGCGTGGTGGTTTACGCTCAGCTGTTGATCCTTGTTTGAAGTAGGTTTTTTTTTTTTTTTTTTTTTTTTAATTTAAGAGATTTACCAGTTCCATCTTTTACCTGGCTGCAGCTGCCCTGTAGAAAGCGAAGGAGCTTTCTCTAATTTTTGACAGCCTGAAAAGTTTCCTGAGCCCTGAACTTGTTTGTCTTCTACTGTTTTGCCCGTCCCTCTCTCTTTTTCTTTTAACTCTTTTAGTGAGGGCTGCTTTTGGGTGCTTCGTCAGCTCTGAGGCACGTCAAATACGTGTATTTCGCTTTCAGCATTGTGTGAGGGACCCTGGCGGCTGGAACTGCCTCTGCTCGGGGCTTAGGGCTGACTGCGAACGTTCCCATTTTCCCCTCTTCCTCTCATTGGTTCCCGAGGTCACGTGAGGGCCCCGGGGGTTGGAATTCTGAGTTGTGGCTTTGGCACTCCTTTTTCTTTTTAAAAATCGCTGGGTCTGTTGAGCTGTCCTGGGCTGGGTGCCTTGCTCTTTGACTGAGACTGGAGACAGACGGGAACAGCCACAGGCAGACTGAGGTGACAATAGGAAATCTGCTGAGATGTTCAGTCAGGTGCCCAGGACCCCAGCCTCAGGCTGCTACTACCTAAATTCCATGACACCTGAGGGCCAGGAGATGTACTTGCGATTTGATCAGACTACAAGACGCTCTCCTTACAGGATGAGCCGGATTCTAGCACGCCATCAGCTAGTGACTAAAATTCAACAAGGTGAGTGGCCGGCAGTGGAAGGCTGTTGCTCATTCTGATTTCTGTTGGCTCTATTTCATGCTAACCCAGTTTTTTGGTTTTGTTTTCACTTTATAACATATGGATTTCTATGCCACACTACCCGTAACTTTGAAAAATAACTTCAGGCTGCAGTTTTCAGCAAACAGGACAGTCCTTAGCTGCCACATAGCTCAACATAAAGTGCCCAAAAGACTTCACGGTGGGACAGTGAATCATAAATTCCAAAACTTACATGTGTCTACAGAACAGATGAGAACTGTTACTCAGTGTGTATCTTAGGAGCTTTTCTGCAGTTTCCTCACACTGTGTCACATTTAGAATGTGGACACTTGTTTATTTCATTTGAGAGGGGCGGGGGACTAATGTCCACCCTGCCCGGAGTATTTCGAACATCCTTAGTGAAGAGGAGGAAAGCAAGAATTCTCTTCTAAAGGCCATCAGGCTAAGCACTAGAATCGCATTCTCTTCCTGTTTGTATGTTTATGTCAGCAGTTGCCACAGACATGTTAATATTGTTTTTCTGGTAAAGAATTAAGGTGTTTGTTGATCTCAAAACAAAATCCCGTAACCTGCACGCAAAACTCCAGCTTCCTATTGCAAAGAGAAGAGAATATTGAGTATAGGCTGCTTGATATTCTTTTTATTCTCAGCCCCCCAAAATACCAGTCTAGAAGTCTGGACATTACTAAAATTTAGCAGTCTAAAAAAAAAATTTTTTTTTAAACATGCTCCTTATAAGGTGTATCAGTAGAAAGCAGAAAGATGAACATTCCTGAGAAGCCCCTAACACATATGTTTACAATCAGTTAATGATCACCCTCCTTCTAGACTACAAAAACAAATTATTATATTGGTGCTAAATAAGTTAACCAGGAATTTTTAGAGCCATTATAAAAATACAGTTTCCACTTAAATAAATGAGTTTAAGATTATATTGAATATTAGAGAGGAAGTTGGGGTTTGTAATCATGAAAATCTTATTGTAATGTTTCCAAAAAGAACAATATGTATTCTAGTGGGCAGCATTTGATGAGATTGTTTCCTTGGAAATTAGGATTTGTTTGTAAAGGTTCAGGAACTAGTTATGTGTGAAGGATGCTGGTCCTTCCTACATGCTGGTCTGATTTCAGGAAGGATATTATGTCATTCCATAAACTCTGTGTGCAGGTCTTGAGTGAATAGAAACAAAAGTAATTATTTCCCTGTGGCTTGATTTAAAAATACTTTGGGCTTAGAATAAAAACCAGCTCCACTTTGGTTGTAGAAATTTCTGATCATGGTGCTTTTCCAAATGCCATCATCTTTATGTACACCGAGGCTTAATGATGCTCTATCATCTACAAGATATAAATGTTCTTCAGCATGCGTATCATATTAGAAATATTGCGTAGAACTAGCTGAAATTGCTTTGCAAACCTCCTTAGATGTATTTACAATATTTGATTTTATTTAAATATTATGTTCTTTTTGGAATGAGGGTTATTTTTCCATTCAAGATTTGAAGTTATGAACACATGCACTGTCACTGAACGTGCCCTGTCACACAGACATACGGGCACCCTCAGTTTATGTTTCATTTTTGTCTAATTAGATGATTTGAGGATTCCGTCTTTTCTATACTGGGCAATGGAGTGTTTGAAGTCAATGAATGCCTAACACTTAAAACTGACAGTAAAGATCACAGGGAAGCAACAAAGATTTCCAACAGTCTAGTGATTCAGAAATCATTATGTGTTAACATCATACAGCTCTTTAGTAAGACAATGAGAAAGCAATGCAAAACAATTTTATTGAGTTTACTGAATTAGAAGATTGGTTTACTGTAATAGCAGAGAATGTGGATTAAACAGTTACAGCATACCAAAATCATTATAGATAATTTTTTTTATTATGCCCATTTTACAGATGAGAAAACAGAGGCACACAGAGTTCAAGTATCTTATCCAAGGTCACCCAGTAAGAACTGGTACTTGAATACAGCTTGACAGTTCATGCTCTGCAATACGCTAGACTATTTTTCAGTTTTTATAATGAGTGCTAAAGTACTGAACCTATGATTGAGTTTTGGATTATATAGTATACTAGAGACTTTTTAGACTTTTCTACTCAGGATACAGCAATACACTATATTATAGGATCAGAATTGGTCACTCATTATGAAATTTCGTGTCGGGTTGTATTTCTCTAGTGCAAGCAAAGTGCTAAATGTTTTATTCTCTTTAAACAGTTACTACCCAATAACACAGGATGTCAAGTTATTTTTACTAACAGCTTTGTTTTCTTTGTGTTTTTGAGACAGAGTCTTACTCCGTCACCCAGGCTGGGGTGCAGTGGTGCGATCATAGTTCACTGCAGCCTTGACCTCCTGGGCTCAAGCGATCCTTCTATCTCAGCCTCTTCAGTAGCTGAGACTTACAGGTGTGTGACACCATGCCTGGCTAATTTTTTAAATTTTTTTTGTAGAGACAGGGTCTCACTATATTGCACAGACTGGTCTCGAACTCCTGGGCTCAAGTGATCCTCCCACCTCAGCCTCGCAAAGTGCAGGGATTACAGATGTGAGCCATTGTGCCGTGCCACTAACAGCTTTTAATCATTCCATTAATCACATGCAAATAAATTAATGGCAGCATTATTTTCTGTAGTTGACAGGTTAGTATCTTAAAGTGACAGCCACATCACTAGAATTGTTTGCATTATTCTGCTTTAGATCTTTAAGATTTAGCATTATGTTAATTTTATTTAAGACGTCATTACTTATAATTTCTCATGGTTGTTGGGAACAGTGGAAACGAGTAAGTTGCTCCCCACTGACCTCATTATAGTGAGATAATCATTGAATGGCATGCACATGATTCAATAGCAGATACACTCATGGGGAGGAAAAACAAGGAAGAGAAATAAAGGAATCTTTGATGATGCATAGAATCAGAATTCATTACCCAAACCCAGGATGAATCTCAACTTGCTCATCTTCGGCTACACATCAAAACATACATGCATCATTTCTCTGGCCTGTTTTTTAGTTCTGGGGTTACAAATTCATTTCAAGAGAGAGGAGATGTTTAAAAGAGAGTGTTGTTTTGAAGAGTGAAAGTTTATCGTAAGTCATACTGCCCATAATCCATACCCCACATTCTTGCTTGAATCAATAGGGAAATTGTTGTAGAGAGAGAGAATGGAAATAATAATGGTCCTTATTTGCCTCACTAACTGGCGCTTGGGAGTGGATAGGAGAGAGGATGCTGGGGGTGGTGAAAGACTGTGTTAGGCCAAGGAAAGGAAGGATTGGATTTTTTTCTATTTTTTTTTAATTTGGTAAAATACACAATACATTAATTTTGCCATCTTAACCATTTTTAAATGTATGGTTCAGTGGTATTAAATACGTTCATAATTCATAATGTCCAACCATCACCACCAGCCATCTCCAGAACTCTTTTCATCTTGCAAAACTGAAACTCCATACCCGTTAAACAAGAATTCCTCATTCCTCCCTCCTCTCGGCCTTTGGCAACCACCATTCAACTTTCTGTCTCTATGAATCTGACTACTTTAAGTACCTCATGTAAGTGAAATCATACAATGATTGACTTTGTGTGACTGGCTTATTTCACTTTGTTCAATGTCTTTGAGGTTCATCCATGTTATAGCACATGGCAGGATTGCCTTCCTTTTTAAGGCTGGATAATATTCAATTGTATATATATACTACATTTCACTTTCTGTTTTTTTGTTAGTAGACCTCTTAATGGGTGTGAGGTGGGAGAATTGGATTTCTATGTCATTATTTGATGGTTTTGATTTATTGGTTCTATGTCATTATTTGGTGGTTTTGATTTAGTGCAACATGACGGATGCACCATGTTTAAAGTCTACACACACACACACACACACACATATTTGGAAAACCCAAATGTAAGCAGAAACATAAATGTGATTACTTGCTTTGTGAAATAACTTATCACACTATTACACTTTTTATTTTATTTTAAATGCTTAGGAAACAGCATAATCCGGATTGCAGTCAAGTCCGCTGAAGTAGGATAAGGAGACAGGGACCCAGGCTCTGTATAGATGCTCCTTCGCTCCTTTACAGTGTTGAGTTCCAGAGCTTTACTGGACCTTTGGTTTTCGATGAGAAAGTGAAGTGGATGGACTATGATTGCTCAAGTTTATTCTGTGTCTCATGTTCTGGAATTCTCTCTGTGGTTAAGTCAGCAACTCTTTGAACAGGATTGTAGAAAGCAGGGGAACATAAACCTAACATACTAGAACCTAAAAAGGCAACAGAGCGGCTTTATTATGTGGAATGTATCAGTGGCTTACAATTGTTCTACAATTTCTTAAGAAAACGGTAAAGCAGAAATTAGGTTTTTGTTCTACCTTCGCCACTAATTTATTGTGTGATCTGAGAGAAGTCACAGCTTCTCTAGACCTCTTTCCCTTCTTCCATTAAATAAAGGATTTGGATTAAAGAGTCTCTGAAGTCCCCATCATCTCTACAATTCTAGGATTCTGCAATCGCAGGAGCTACCTTAAGACTAAGGCAATGCTTATTTACATTTTCCTTATTACATCATTCAGCATATACCTGGACATGCTTCCTTGTAACCTATGTAATGCTTTCATTAATATCGATGTAATAGGAATGTTAGGAAGTTCGGTCTTGTGGACTATTTAAATGTCGGTATAACTATACTTATACAGAAACTTGTAAACACCCTTCTTTCTCCAAAATCCAGGCCTGTAAAGTGGAGTTATCTTGATGCCTGACCTATAGCAAGGATTGCAGGGACTGAAGAAAGTCCATGTGTGTGCCTCTTACCTCACAATACAACCGCTTTCTTTTCTTGATAGAAAATGTGGAAAGTAGAAAGTTTCACTACTGGGCCGGGCGCGGTGGCTCAAGCCTGTAATCCCAGCACTTTGGGAGGCCAAGACGGGCGGATCACGAGGTCAGGAGATCGAGACCATCCTGGCTAACAAGGTGAAACTCCGTCTCTACTAAAAAATACAAAAAAACTAGCCGGGCATGGTGGCGGTCGCCTGTAGTCCCAGCTACTCGGGAGGCTGAGGTAGGAGAATGGCGTGAACCCGGGAGGCGGAGCTTGCAGTGAGCTGAGATCCGGCCACTGCACTCCAGCCTGGGCGACAGAGCGAGACTCCGTCTCAAAAAAAAAAAAAAAAAAAAAAGACAGTTTCACTACTGGGAAACTAGTGAAAGTTAGACTGTCATTTGAGTTGCCATTCTATCTGAGGCTATTTTTAAGTAGATATAGCACCTGATTTGAACTCAACTAGAATGGGATATACTGCCTTTTAAAAATTTCCTCAGAGAATGCCAGTGGGCATGAGTGATGTATTCCCCCTCATTACTATGTCAGAAGGCATCTTGGGAATTTGCCCAACCTAAGTGGTGAACATGGCCCATCCCCATGGCCTATACCCCCAGCAACTGGGTAATGTCAGCCTAAATTAAACAATCATTTGTTCTTTTGGAATTGCCCTTTCTCTATGTTTAGTACTTTCTTACCCGACTGCTTTCAAACCTGGAGGATGAATGCGCTGGCAGAAAGACAGATGGAACACAGGAAGCAGCCTGAGAATGCATCAGTCATGTATTGCTCAAGTTCTGTCTGTTTTTTTTTTAAAGAGTGGCAACTGTCATAAATTCACATTTCATGAATCAGAGCCTCTTTCTACTCTGTGTTGGTGTTTGGAGGGCCTGTACAGAAAGGATACTGTTTAACCAAAATTACAGGAAAATCTGCTAAGTGAATTAAATGAACTAACTTTGAATAACATTTTAAAAATTACTACATAGTAAAACTGTAAGAAGTCAAGAAATGAGTACTGGGAGGAAATTAACAAAAGGACAATATGCTTGTAAACATATAAAACTTGAGAGTTTAACTTTAACCAAGTTGTAGGTTCAATAGCTACACATCATTGCTTTATAACTCATACATTGGCCAGGGTGGCCAATCCATTGGAGTTGCCTGGAGCAGCACATGACACAGTAGCACGGGGTGTACAGAGATGGGTATTTGCCTTGTGCCTTCTTCTGTGCCAGTCTTCCAGGAGTTCCTCTGTTGGCAGAATGTTGAAACTTCTGTTGCTCAGATGCAGGCAGTTACCAAATTTGGATTCTGTAACTTTAGCTTAAGTGAATAAAGATTCATTTTTTTAAATGTCTTTCTCTCTCCCACCTTCCCCAATCATCAGTGCATTAGTTCTTAGGAAATTTTGGATAATGGTCAGCTCTTATAATGCAGAATTCCTCATTTCATTAGCAAATTAATCAAGGACACAGATAGAAACACAAGTTAGAAAAAACAGTCACTACTAGTGGTCTTAGCAGTATCAATTGATGACCCAAAACAAATTTAAAAAGAGAACAAATGATAAGTGAGTTTTGGCAAAACTCTTATATAAAGGGACATAAATAGATGGAGATTTAGTAGAGACATGTCATTAACAAGAATATACACTTGCTCTGTGTTTCATTAGCTATGACAACAGGGTAGTGAGGCAATCAAGAAGACTCAAGAAGATAAGAGAACCTGACCATGAATTGCATGCTAGATATTTGAATGAACTAAAGATCATATAAAAAGTATTTGCTGTCTCCCTAGGAGCAATTGAAATATGATTTTGGTATGGGGAAAGATACTACATATTAATTTACATTCCACCTCATAACCTAGAGGATTTGATGTCATTTATAGAAGAATATATAACTAAAGATTGCAAAAAGATAAATCTGATGAAAAGAGAAATGTTGGCCAATTAATGAGGTAAAACTAGGAAGATATATTACATGGAAATATAAAATGTAAGGCTTTGAATAATTAGCAAAAATGAGCTGCAAATTTGGCTTGAGCTTCCCTGATCTAAGCAAAGAGGAAAACACAACCAAGGGAAGTTTTTCCCTGTTCATAAGGTAAGAACTTACGAGCCAAGCTTTTCCTGGAAATTGCTCTTTGGGAGAATTTTCTCCCAAGAACTTGACCTATGAGAGGAATTTCTTATACAAATCTCATAAAGGTAACACTGCAAGCTATAGTGAATGGTGCCTTCAACCACTCCTACTGTGAATTCAGTAGTGAGTCTCGTTTCTTATAACATCCTGCAGTGAAAGTGGGGGCATCACAATAAATTGTAGTCCAGTAGAAATAGAAATATTTGGGTGTGGGTGGGTGGGTAAAAACAAGAGGTCAGGTATGCAGTCTTCGGATTCTCTGTCTTAACCTAGAAATAGCATGGAGATTATCCACAGGCAATTTCTATTAGTCTGCTTCGCAGAACACTAGGCCCATTAGACAGATATTCAAGGGAGAAAACATTTCTGTGGTTAAGTCATTTTGGGAAACGCTACTTTCCCTTTCCCCTGGAAATTCAGACTTATGAAAGGCTCAGGAAAATCTGGCACAAAGTAGTTTAACTGTGTTTAAACTGGTATATTTCATCTTGAAAACACTTTTCACAGGATACTGGGAAGTCACATATTGCAAAACCAGCTTTCCCTGGGGAACACATTTTGGAAATGCTGATCTAGGAGAGTACGTGGCCTATGCTTCCTTCAGATAATTTTCTCTGAATATACTTCTTGCATAGATTTGGCAGTAGATACTTTGAAGTTGTGTTTTGGAGAGTAACATCGCAAGTATTCTATGTTTTCCAAAAAGGCCAGCCACAAATACTTTAAAAGTCAACTGAGTAAAGGCAAGATGACCATCTTTTTATGAAAATTAACAACCACATAAAGATTCTGTTTTGGGTAGGCAGAACAGAAAGCTGAGTCGGTATACAGGCAGAGTTAATAATTATAACATCAAGAATACAACCATTCCTCAAATAACTCTACAAGATAGGTACTGTTGAGCCAGAAGGAAGAAATTACTGCCTTCTAGCTCTGGCTTTGTCTTACCATGATATAGTTGAAGTCCTTGGTGAGGTCCAAATGGTTCTAACATTACTGTAGCTAATTCAGGATTTTCCATTACTGCTAGGAAGTGGAATCATGCCCCACAGGAAAGAAGCAAAAAACTCTTCAGAAGTCTCACATTCTCCTTTGCCATAGGTGACATGGGATATGGACTCACTGAAGCTCAGGCACTGATGAGTGGCTCCGAGAATTGCTGAATTCATGGTCCAAAAAATATCTTTGGTTGTATAAAAGCTCTCCTAGTATGACAAAAAGAAGTGAATGAAGTAAAATTATGTAGATAATTCTAATTAGTAAAATCTGCTTGCTTTAGTTATAGCGGCAACTTATCAATTTCCAGGAAGTCCACAAATATATTCTTAAGATGTTTTTCCTCCTGTTGGCAAAGAGATACGCATTAGCATTCACATTATGAATGATGCTTCTGGAGAGAAATTCACACAATATCCAAAAGCTCCAAGAGAATGCATAGGAAATTACCATACTGGCTAGCCCAAACCACCACACTGTGAATTCACACAAGACCATGGTGGTCATTCTGGACTGGTACAGTCTAGGGCAGGACCGAGTACCCTGAAAATTTATATACTAACGTTTGAAAAGACATGAATTCTCTCTCTCTCTCTCTCTTTTTTTTTCCAGAAGGTTAAGTTCTATAATAATCTAAATGGAGAACTTGGAAAATAACTTCAAAATTACAGAAAATGCTAATGCTGTTAGCAAAAGAAAATCAATAGAAATAGATCTAGTGTCTGGCTAGACTGTCAAATGATTTCCCTCACACAGCATAGGAATCCTGAGAATTTTAAAGGTCTGACAGAGGCAGAGCTGACTAAAATACCAATGATTTGTGTTGCTTTGCCTCCTAACAGTTGGATAAAACACAAGGGCGAAACAATGCAGAGAGATTGGAAAGGAACTTGGCAGTCACCAAGTACCTAATTTACATGTCAGGATTTCGAGCTGAAGTAGGCATTCTCTTCCTGCATTCCAACTCTCCCCTTCCTGCTTCATTCTGAAAATCATACATATGGATGGCGGGAACGTTTGATTAGTATTCAATCTCTATGAGCAAACAGTAGCATTTCCTATACATTTATATTCACCAAATGACACACTGGATTCAAAAAGTATGTATAGTCATAAAATCACATTTTCCTCTGAGAGTTATACTACCCTGAAATTATGTATAATATTTAAAATTACTATAAGAAATAAGAATGATTGACAAATCCTGCAGTAATGATATTCCAACCATTCTCACTCAAATAGACTGGAGTTCTTATTTGAGAAAATTAAAGAATATTCTCCAGATGCTTTGAGGGACACAACACGTTTCCCACTACATGCATTTCTCAAAATAGAGCATGAAGTCCATCGCAAGGCCCTTACTGTCTGGACTTCTGTAAACCCATGCATTATGTTTAACAGGTTCTTAATCATCAAACCACCTTCATTTTTACCACTGGTCTCTTTCAGATAGGAAAGTCTACTGACCTCCTTCCCTGAAAATTAGGATCCTCATGTTAGCATTCCATCCCACTTGCTGTACTTTTAGGTGGAAGGTCTAAGGCAGACAAAACTGCTTAAATATTTTTATCACTGACTTCCTAGAAGAAGGAGGAAAAAATCTTGGCAAGAAGAAGGGAAATCAGTCTTGAAGAATATCTTGAAGAGACCTGCAAGGGAATTCCACTGACTGTGTTCATTATCTATTGGTCCCCATACTGAGTGGAATTTTTATGTGTTATCATTGGCCAGGGTGGCCAATCCATTGGTGTTGCCTGGAGCAGTACGTGACACAGTAGCACGGGGTATACAGAGGTGGGTATTTGCCTTGTGCCTTCTTTTGTGCCAGTCTTCCAGGAGTTACTCTGTTGGCAGAATGTTGAAACTTCTGTCGTTCTTAGGAGCAAATAATTGAAACATGTTGGTTGAATTTCAAGACACCTTTTCTTCTCTTTTACAAATAGCCCTGTGATTACAAATAGCTTTGATTCCTGTGGAATCAAGAATGTCTCAGGGATGTTGTCCATCAATCCAAACTCCAAACTTTCTATAACTCTAATTTAGAGGGCTTTGGAGTCGTGTACACTTGAATTTGAACTCTAGCTCTACATCATCCCCATAGAGTGACCTTGGACGAGTCACTTAATGCTTCTTAGCTTTTGTTCCCCTGTGGGTAAAATGGCATTAATAAGAGCAACTATCTCAGTTATTGAAAGGATTAAACGAGAGACTATAATCAAACACAGATCACAGTGTCTGGCACATACTAAGTGCTCAATTTAAGACAAAATGATTATTAAACATCCATGTACATATGACCCTTCAAACTGCTGAATCATCAACTGAAGAGTGAATTATGTTTGAGTAAGTTACACACTCTGTATCATGTTTACTATGACAGACATACATAATGCCACATTTTTTGTGTGTGTCCTCAACAAGGTCTTCCAGAAAATTTGAAACAAAAGAGGTTTTTTTTTTTTCTTAAACCGTAATGAAAACCATTGCCTTTTCCAATTGTGGTTTCCTATGGATAGCAATTGCTCTCTCTCAAGTTGCCCTGAACTGGCCTGAAATGGTGGGTTTAGGCCAGTCTTCAGGTCCTGCAGATAAATAGTAAAGCGCGTTGAACTTTACCTTGTAGCAGTGAAAGACAGTTCTTGGCAGAAAGTGTTCCTAGCTCTCGGAATCACTTGGTGGTAAAGGCTAAGCTGAGAGGGCAGGAGTGCTGGAGGAAAGGGGCTGTGCCTCACATTAAACTGAAGGGCTGGGAGGTTCTTGGTGGGGCTAAGGGAGTGGGAACGAAGTCTGAGGCAAACATCATTAATTGCTAATAGATGGGACATTTGGGCTTAAAACTGTATTCCTTAGAACTCAGATATCTGTTTAACAGCCATCTTTTCAAAGCAATCCGATATCTATTTTTGTTCCTCCAGTGATGGCAGCGGGAGGCCACCAAACCCAGGGTGGGGTGATCTTGGATAAGTCACCTAAGTCTTCCAGATCTACGTTTTCTCTTCCATATGAGAGATGAACGGATCAGTCTGTAACTGAGGTTCTGGAAAGCCAATTTGCACAAAGGCTAGTGCTACATTCGTCATGGAAAGCAACTTTAAAATTATAAAACATGCTAATGCTTTGAATGACTGTCTTAGTTTGCTGGGGCTGCAGTAATAAAGTACCGGAGACTGGGTGACTTAATCCCAAAAATATGCTTCACAATTCTGGAGGTTGGAAGTTGAGAACAACGTGCCGGCAGGATTGGTTCCTTTGGAGGCCTCTCTCCTGGACTTGCTGACAGCTGCCTTCTTGCAGTCTTCACCTGGTCTTCCTTCCGTGTGTGTCTGTGTCTTCATCTCCTCTTGTAAAGACACCAGTCATACTGGATTGGGGCCCACCCATATGATCTAATTTTATCTTAATGACCTCTATAAGGGCCCTATCTTCAAATATACTCACACTCTAAGGTATTGCAAGCAAGGACTTCAACACATGAATTATAGGGAGATGCAGTTCATCCATTACATGAATCAAATATTTCCCAATTTTATTTGTTACATCAAAAAAAAAAAAGGGGGAGACTGATGTTTATGATATGCCTCTGCTTACCAGCATTGTGCTGGTCGCTTCCTTGTTTTTGTCTTATTCAACACTCATAACAGCCCTCCCTTGAAGATCGATATTAGTATCTACCTGTTTTCAGCATAGGATACTGAGAAAACGTTCATCAAAAGCTGAAAGAAAATGAATGAAAGAATAAGAATATATCTTTAACAAAATCTGAACTCCTCTCTCAAATTCTTGTGATTTTTCTAAACTGAGGTTAACTTTGAGATCTTTGTTAATTTTGTAAACCTTTCCAGCTTTACATGTCTTTGTGGAGAGAAATAGAGAAAAAGTGCTGTACAATGCATGTAAATTTTCTAATGCCCACTTGACAACTTCAAAACTAAGCTCTCGTACTAATTCAAACAAATTATTCAAGAAACTTTAATTGCCCATTTCCTCTAAGGATTTCATTCCTTTTGATTGAGGAATATGCTTCATATCTGTTGAATTCTTCAGCTATGAAAGACTGCCTACAAATCTGATCACTATCAATTTGTTGAAATTTATTCTTAGAGTTTAATGGACTAAAATCTTAACAGTTAAACATTGTGGATTCTTTTCCTTTATTTATTTTATGGAATATGTATACTCTTAAGTCTTCCTCTATTTAGAAATTCTTCCAGAAAGAATAGAAACATCCTTTAGTACAGTTTTGTACATCATAAGTTACATGTTAATCTTGAGCCTTGCAAAAACCTTGTTTTGTAGGATGAAATATTGGTTGTCTGCATATGGTATCTTGGAAACCCTGAAAAGCGATTTGTCGTATTAATTCCTTCACCAGTGTACTGCATAACACTTTGTGGAGCAATTCCACATGCATTGTCATTTTGAAGATGTGTCCAATGAAATTATAGTCGTGTATTAGGAATCTCTGTCCTCTGAAATCTCTCAGAGAACTGAAAAATGCATAGGCAAGTTTTCCTACTTTGACATGTTTCTGATTTCATTTTCCTGAATTATTCCTTTGGAACCGAGTTTTGTTGTATGGAAAAACACATTTATCCAAGAGGGCGCTATCAATAAGTGGAGACTGACTTGATACAATAAGGAAACTTGGCAGCATGCAGCTGCAATTGTAAAACATTAACTGGTAAAAGAGCGATTGTTTCAGAGTCCAGTTTTTCCTCCTCCCCAACCCCCATTTAGAGTAAAATTACTTCCTCACCTCCCAATTGATAATTGCATTTCTGCCAAAGTCATTAGATTTCTGCTGGTTTCCCGTGGTTTTCTTCTGTCACTTTTGCCTCCTTCTCTATGTTTGGTTACCTTAGCAGAGCTGGCCCTGGACACTGTAGCTTCCATTCTGTGAGGTTTATTGCTTTGTTAGATAATGCCAGGAATGACGTTGAGTTGAGACAAGTTCTTTTCAGATCATTAACTGTCAGTCACCTTTCCTTCAGGCTGCTTGAATCTGTGCAGCTGTACCCAGAGGCCCAGGCCATGCCTCTGGCTATGGGAGAATATTTCCACTGAATTACCCGTGAAAAGACTCAGGGTTTGTCATGGACAGGCAGGTTGTCAGCAGAGTTTGTTAACCTTTAAGATGTACTTAGATGAAATGTTTGGGTCTGGATTGGTCATTTGACTTTTATATTTCTCACCACAATATTGGGCCTTTGAAATATTTACATTTTAAAAAGTAGTAACAATATACTTATACAGGTTGAATATCCCTAATCAGAAAATTCAAAGTCTGAAACACTTCAGAATCTGAAACTTCTTGAGCACTGACATGACACTCAAAGGAAATGCCCATTGGATTATTTTGAATTTCGGATTTGGTGATTAAGGATGCTTAACCAGTATAATGCAAATATTCCAACATTTTTAGAAATCTCAAATCTGAAACACTTCTGGTGCCAAGCATTTCAGATAAGGTCTACTAAACCTGTAGCTACTTTTGTTGAGGACCTACTATGATGTACCAAGAACTATTTTCAGCACTACCTATATTATTATTTCATTTAATTTTCATAAAGACCTGAGAGTTAAGTTTACTCATCTGGAAAATAAACATAGTAAGAACTAACAGATGAGTAAACACATTCTCCAGGAGTTCAGTAAACTTTCCCAAAGTCACACAGTGAGTGGGAGGTGGAGCAGGGCTTTGTACTCAAGTCTGGACGATCTGGGAGCCCACGTTATTCTTAACTGTGTAACCCTGTCTTCTTCATAATTATAGGTAGCAGTGTTTACTTGGAACCAAGAAGTGTTTTTTTGTTTTTTTTAATTTGTATGTTTTATGGGTTTTTTTTTTTTCATCATTATAGACCTGGTTGGTTCTCCCTTCCTCACCAACCCCTCATGTTGTCGGAGGACCTCAGTGTGCCACCAGCAGCAAAGCCGCGTGCTCATCCCATACTAACTACCCTCCCACTCCCCTCTTGAGGGCTGGCTGCTCTTTATCAAGAACTCTGCTTCCAAAGTAAATGTCCAAGGCATCAGGATTCCCAAGGGCAGGATCCAGCATGGTGCCTAACTTACCTGAGGTTCCTAAGTTCTACCTAAGGAATAGGCATCACCGAAAGTATGGAGTCTTCTTCCTGCAACCTCCTTTCTCTACTTCCAACCCTTCAAACTGCTGCCCTTCTTCCTAGAAAGTGCTGGGGTGGGATGCCCATTCTCCCCCAAGTTTTCCCAGGGCTCCCGGGGCCCACAGAGCTCAGGGGCTCTTGTGACTTCACAGTGGACTTTTCTGACACTAGGGAGTACAAGGAGTGAGGTGGGAATTGGGTGACACCTGTGTTGTTCTCTAGACAGCGGATCTGGAACTCAGCCGTCCTCCAGTGCAAGAAAAGTGTGTATTAAAGGAGGGTCCACATTTTCAGAGAGAAGTCTTGGGTGGAGATTTTTTTCTTCTGGATTTTACAAGTCTGTCCTCAGTCACAGCTGAGGCCTGTAGACCAGAATAGTTGCAGTTGTACTCTGCACTTGTTGCTAGCTAACAGTAGCCAGTCAGAAAAAAGTATCATGCTCTGCCAACTCCTGGTGTTTGTGAAATTTTGCCAGAAGCAAAACAGGATCAAAAATAACAAACAGACGTCCTCCCTGGCTTCTTGACTGCTATTTACATAAAGAGATTGATGAACTGATTGTGCTTGTGGGAGTGTGCGGGGAAGGGAATTTTTAAGGAGAAAAGGTTAATTTTGGGGTCCTTGGTTGCGTGTGATTTGAGGTTTTCTTCACTAATTGGGTTTCCAGAGACAACTTTTACTATAGATAGTGTTGCTTCTCCATTATAAGCAGACTAAACTATGGATAAGACAACCTGACATATGAATTACATGCAGCTATAAAACTTCCACAGGGAAAGAAAATGAACCTTGAAAACAAAGGAATAAGGAATAATATGAGCCTTAAGTGGAACACTTGTGTTCCCAGTAGAGGGAGAGACCTAATTTGTATGGCAAGCTCGGGAAATCTGGGTACAGGAGGCCTGGGTTCTCGAGCACGATTGTCCTAACGTAATCGTCGATATTTTTATTAACCTCTCATGTCTCAGTTTTTGAATCTATGAAATGGGAATAATATTAGCTCCTGCTATTCTGTAATATAATTGAGGAAAAAGTAATCAATGTGAAATCAATTCAAATGGAAAGCATGGTGCTCAGTTCTGGAGGGCCTGAGGGACACTGGCATCTGTTAGGGGTCACTAAGCTTGCCTGCATACAGGTGCCATATAAAGCCAGACCCAGCTCTTTGCTGTCCTCAGTTGCATCAAAATATAACCATATTTGCTTCTCTTCCTTGAATAATAATTCATATCACTCCTCAAGGATATGGGAATAATGTGCCACTCTGTGGTTTTTTGTTTTGTTTTGTTTGACACTGAGTCTCGCTCTGTTGCCCAGGCTAGAGTGCAATGGCGTGATCTCAGGTCACGCAACCTCTGCCTCCCAGGTTCAAGCAATTCTCCTGCCTCAGCCTCCCAAGTAGCTGGGATTACAGGCACCTGCCACCATACCCAGCTAATTTTTGTATTTTTAGTAGAGATGGGTTTTCACCAGGTTGGGCAGGCTGATCTCAAACTCCTGACCTCAGATGATCCACCCACCTCGGCCTCCCAAAGTGCTGGGATTACAGGCGTGAGCCACTGTGTCCAGCCTTGTTTTGTTTTTATTCGGTTCACAAACAGGCAACATCTACTTGACTAATTCTCAGCTTCACTTTAAATCTTCTTTTTATGTATTTGATGCACTGTGAGCGAATGTATATAATTAATTAGGGTCATTTTAAACTCTAGTTTTCCCTCTCATTTTTCTTTCTTCTCATTTTTCACCTTCATTCTGAGGTGTCAAGAATTATATTTTGTATTTTTACTCAGCTAATAAATTTTGTTTCACCTTTAATAATTTCCCATCAGCAGGAGGAGAATAAAACCTTTTAAAGTGAAAGATACTGTGTCATAGACTGAGGGACTCTGACAAGTCCAAGTGTCGTAAGTCACAGCTTTCAAAGTTATGAATTTCCAAATGTCAGTTGGGCTTTCTGCCTAAGGCCATGATTTTGTGTGGCCGGCTATTCCTAGGCAGAAGAGCCTGGTGTGGGTGGCTAGCTGGAGGCTTCCAAGTACTTATTGTGGTCTCAGTGGGCTGTCAGACTCTTAAGAGACTTAAGGACCCTGATGTTACACATCCCACATTGCCTGATGAGGGATGCCAGGTGCTCCCCTGACATCCTACCTAGCACAGCATAAGCTGGAAAGTCTTAGAAAAGTAGGGTGAAAGTTGCCGGAAACACACACTTTATAAACATATTCCTTAATGTGTTTGAGTTTTGTTTGATAGTTTTGATATCAGCATTATTTTGTTTGCTTTATGTATTTGAGTACGCTGATTATAGTAGTTTTTAGGGAAAAGGGTAGTTACTAACCTGATACTTATGTGACAGTCTTCAAAAATTGGTAAACACCCTACCCATTTGGTCATGATTTGGAAAGTCTGGGTATCCTGACGTTTTTTTTTTAATCTCCTGAGTGGAGCTCGAGGGGAATGTGAATGAGGAGAGAAGGCACTTATGTGGCAGAGGAGTACCCAGCTCATGGAATGGCTTGTCAAAATTTTTGGCTGCAACAAAAACTTAGACTCTACGTTGACTTCTTTCTTACGCAAGAGGGTAAGACTAACGTCTCATGCCTCCAAACTTCCCAGCAGCCTTTGGGTTAGCAGAACACATTTCTCATTTATAGCTGGCTCTGCTCAGTGAACAACTACTTAAATAAATTACCGTGTTTTGTGATTGATGCTAATAGTTTGGCGTGGAGTTATTAAGACTTCAGATCCTTGATTTATTAGAGAAAGAATCTTTCAGACGTTTCTTTTGTTGGGCTCTGAGAAGCTGTACATTTTCTGAAACTTGTAGTCGTAGAGGCCATGTTCGTTGCTCTAAAGCATGGCTTTGGCATTAGCTGGACCTAGGTTCAAATCTTAGTTCCACACTGATGCGCTGTGTGACCTTGAGTAAGTTCCATGAACTCTATAAGCCTATTTCCTCATCTAACATGGGAATAATAATAATAACAACAACATCTTCTGCCTACAGTTGATTTAAGAATAAGTGTTCTCACGCCTGCAAAGTGCTTATCACAGAGCCCGGCTCTTACTCAGGGCTCAATGTGTGTTACTCTAAAGGGAAAACAAAAAAAGGACATTAACAGTCAGCCACACAGCCAGTTCTGCTATGGATGAACTACTTATGGGGAAGATGAAAATACCCAAGCTTAGATAAATACATAAAGTGGAAGCTAAAGAACAGCCACAATCCTACTGGACCTGAAATGAGTGTTTAAAGTATCCTCAGAGGAAGAAAAAGTATGACAAGGGTAGCTCAGAAACTGTGCAATTTTAGCAGGGAGTTTTCTGAGCCAGGGTATTTACCTGTGAAAGCAGATACCTATCGAACTCTTGGTAGGATAGATAATATGTTTTGTCCTTAAACAAATGAGACCAACCGCCGGTTTGAACTTCGTCTCTAGCATGAAGTTGACAGAAGTTGTCTACTCTTAATATTTCAAGTCCGACTTCCCAAAATGAAGCATAGACTCTTTCAGACATTTGCCTTAGCAGTACAGCTAACAGGGAACTAATAATATGTGGTCCCAACTCCTCTCACAAGGTGTGGTGAGATAAGCCCAGAAGAAGCCTGGGACAGCACCCTTCACCCCACCCTCTAGTTCGCAGCCTGCTCCTGAGAAGGAAAGAGAAGGCCCAGTAGCAGAGACAATGTATCTTCCATGGCCAGAATCTCCTCGGCTTCTTGTCAAAGACAGCCTTTTAAGTCTTCTGATCCAACTACGTTTTGCACATTGGATCTTTTTTTTTTTTTTTTTTTTTTTTTTTTTTTTTTTGAGACGGAGTCTCGCTCTGCCGCCCAGGCTGGAGTGCAGTGGCCGGATCTCAGCTCACTGCAAGCTCCGCCTCCCGGGTTCCCGCCATTCTCCTGCCTCAGCCTCCCCAGTAGCTGGGACTACAGGCGCCCGCCACCTCGCCCGGCTAGTTTTTTGTATTTTTTAGTAGAGACGGGGTTTCACCGTGTCAGCCAGGATGGTCTCGATCTCCTGACCTTGTGATCCGCCCGCCATTGGATCTTGAATTTGTTGTAACCCCACTGGCTTACAGAAAATGAAGTGCATTTATTGTGTTTCTATTTCTGTACAGGGGAACCTAGTCATTCATTCACTCAATCGCTCACTCACAAGATTGTTCGTAAAATAGCTACTCTGTGTCAGGTGCTCTTAGGTCCTTGGGATATAACAACGCATTCAAATACAATCACAGCAGAGTTTGATGGGTGAACCTTAAACAGGCTCCGAGGAATGTCCGGTGTGGGGATGGATGTCTGTGTAGGGAGAGTGGAGGCACAGTGGAAGGGTTTCAGTTCTCACGATAGCTGTTGGGTTGTTGTTGTTGTTGGTTTAGGGTTTATTGTTCCATTGCTTCAGCTTCTATCCCTTTGTCAGAGAGTGTCCATGCCTGTCATTACTGGTGGGTTGAGCGAGGATTTCTTGTTAGCTGTCTGGGTAATCATGAGGTTATGACTTCATCAGTTTTTGCCCTTTTATGTGTCTTCCTTCGAATTTGAGTAGGTGTGTTCCAGTCTGGGAACATGGAACCCTCTCCCTTCTGTGAAAGTGTACTGTCCTTGAAAAACCAGGACCCACCCTCTACAGAGACGTTAGCTGTCTGCTGACACTGCTGCACTCAAGTTTGTGTTCCACCTGGAAGGATTACGATAAGATAGTGGTCAATTTCTCATGAATTCAACTTTAGCAACGTAGCAGTAACTTATCACAAATATTTAAGAGAGACTACATTTCAGAAACAGAGACCGCTTTTTCTGCGTCAGCTCTTCTATTGGAGAACCTAGCCTAGTCAGTATCTCAACAAACATTTGTTCAAAGCCAATTGTGTGCAAGATCTTTTCTGGGATTGCGTATGATGCAAAAATTATATAAAACATGATCACTGCCTTCAAGGAGATTATAAGTAAGTGTGATAAGACATATGAACTGTCATAAATGTTGACAAATCAAGGGAACATATGGCTTAGTGACTAACAGGCTATCAAAACGGGCACTCAAAAGTATGTGTAGGCAACAGAGTGGTAAAGTAAAGAGGGAAGACCACTGGGCCTGAGCCGTGGGAAGAAGCTGTGTTTCCA